TCACTTTTCGGATTTAGCATTAACTTAATAATATAACAGTGATCTGCAGGCTCAGCAGCACCAATCAGTCATTTGACTTAGACCAGAAAATGGGGGGCGAAACTACCTTGTAATGGTATATTAGCAGGTTTATAAATGAGTTTGATTGTAGTGACCTTCCACATTAAGTCAAATAATCCGGCTTGGAGTGCGATTGTGACCTCGATTTCCAAAGGCTAGTAAAAATGTAAAAGGCCCTTGCTGCAGCATATAATGAGATAAAGATTAGGCATGCAATGATGCTGGAAATATACTGTCCTATTTATTTAGGCTGTAGGCAGAAGCATATCCCCAATTCACCTCAACGGAGGAAAAGGGGGCAAAATAAAGTTTCCACAAAATTTCACAAGACACGTTCCATTCAGCTTGCTATTCAAAAACCATCATCAAGTGATAAATAAAAGGTAAAAGGTAGATCTGACGCACTTTAAAACTCCGCTCTGACTCGCCAGTTTCACCATGCTAATTCATTGCCTAATTTGACTTCAGTATTTGGCTATATTACGAAATTTTATTATAGAAGCAAAACGGTAAATGATGAAGATGTATTTCTCCTTTTCTAATATAACGTATTTTATAACAAATATTTTAGTTAAATCGATCTCTAAGGTAAGATCAACTATTAGAGACGTCGATAAATGCAATGAAAGTTGTCAACTTCTCATTACTATGCCTACTAGAGAAAAGGGAGGGGCTTAAACCGTGAAATTTGAGAGAAGAAAACGAATAGGAAGATTTCAGACGACAAAGTGCAATTAGCTTAGCCAGCCAGTTGCATAAATTAAAAACTTGAGTGAGCAATAAATGCAAACAATTTGGAATTCTTTCTACCAAGAATGTTCATAAAAACATACTCGTTCTGATTTATTGCTAATCTCCAATGTGCCGGAAGGAGATTTCTTGCCGGCCATCAGGTCCCCAGAAGTTGCTGTCATAGAAACCATATTTGCTACGTTGTTGCTGCGCCGACCCGTGTCCCGATCTTGTTCGTCACCCGAGGAAGAAGAAGATTCATCGTTGTCAGGATGCTGTGAAGCATAAATAAAGCTGATCCTAGATCTGAGAAGAAAGCGAAAAGTACCATATGAATCATGGAAAGAAAGCGATATGAACAAGATGATAAAATCTAATACATTGTATGGTAAAATTAGCTAATGTAGTGGATGAAAATTGCTATAAAGGATTTTAAAAATAATAAGGATGAAATGTGACTTTAGTAAAAATTTGCCAAGACAAGCAGCAAAAGGTGGAAAGTTAGGGCGCTTGCACATCATGGTAAGAATTGTAAAAGCAACAAAGTAAGTTATTTAGAAGAAGAATTTAAAGCCAAATAAAGCTAAAAATAAATTTAAAAGGATACTTATTTTATAGTTTGTCGAATTAATAATTAATCTCAACATAAGCATGATTAAGTAAAAGTTATGTCAAACACAAACAGAAAATCTACCTTTGGTTGGACAGCTACTTGATAAAAGCCTGAGATTATAGTTTTGAATTCAAGATATGAATCGAAAATAATCTGATTAAGTAAAAGTAACATCACGAAACCTCAAAAAGATGATTGAAGAACAAATAAAGCTTAGTTAAACCTAGAAAATAATAATAACAAGGTTCATCAATAAATAG